CCTAACCCTCCCCTGGCAGAGCTGGAGTCTGTGCTCTCTTGTCCTGCTGCTGGTTGCCTGGGAGAAGAGACCAACCCCCACCTGACTCCAACCTCCTGTCAGGGAGTTGCAGAGGGTGATAAGGTCTCCCCTGAGCCTCCTCTTCTCCAGGCTAAACAATCCCTATGTAATAATAGTCTGTAAGGATTAGAAGTTTGAAACATGAACGGGGGGTAAGAATTTTATATGAGAGTCCAAAGGATGTCATTTAGTACTTTAAAATTAAACAAGGGGAAATTAATCTAAATAGCTGTATAATCATGCTCTGTGATAGATTATGGAGTGGAAATTCTTTTTTAATTAAAAGTGCTGGAAGGGGAAAGGATTAGTTTGATTAATTTTCTAGTTTAGGTGAAGAAGTTAGAAACTGTTGAATTGAAAACTACCTATGTTATGGCTTGCAATGATTGACACAGAAATTGTAGCTATTTCTAGAAAGAAAGTGACATGATTTATTCATAATTATAAAGACTTAGCCCTTTTTTTAACCTTAATTCGGAGTGAGAAAGCATCTCATAAATGCATTTACTTTTCATAATGTGATAATACTTTTGCACTGTTATTCCTGTTGAATTGCATCCCTTATCCCTGGTATCATCTTTGTATTCTTGTCTGTTTTAAGATGTGATTTGATATGCCTCACTCTGCTCTCTTTCAGCCCCCTTTGTTTCTCCCTGATCAGTGCTCTGTGTCATGTACATTCTGCTTTCAGTTTTCATTCATTAAAATGACATTTCTCATCTTCTGCTTCACTGCACTGCTGGGGACTTGCCACTTCTTTTACTCACCCTTTCTGTTCTTACTCATGGCAAATGAAATAATTAATCAAAGCAAAATTCCTGCCATAGTTACCTACAAACTCTGCATACAGAATGTGATGCCACTTGGAAAAATGAGGTTTTGTAGTGACTTGGGCATTTATGTCCTTGGGAAAAGATATTTCATGGCAAATTCTCAACCACTGGAGTGGAAGGGTCTGTGGCACATTGTTTTGGGCTGAAAAATAGTTGTTTTGCATTTCTGGAGTCACTTATCATTAATGGATGTCAGAGTAGATTTGAGTTCACCAAATCACACCTGTGTGAATGGAAAAGGGAAGTAAACTCTTCTGGGAGAGATGTTTTAGGTGTTGCTCTCTATCAGAAATGTCCCAGAGAAGGGAAGTGCTGGGAGAAGTGCTGCAGCAGACAGATCTCCCACTCCTTTCCCCTGGGTCAAAGCATATCCTCTCCTTCTTTGCCTCTCTCCTTCTTTGTCTATTTTTAACCAGGTTCAGTCTCCTAAAATCTCAGTGACTAAAAGTCTGTGCTTGGACCAAACAGGTTATCTGATGCCACAACAGATCCCTCCTAAAGACACAGTGTCTCCACTGAGTGTGGGGAGAGCAAGTGAAGAGAACTCTCTAGACAGTTTTAAATAACCCCAATGACACACTCCAAAAATCTTCTCCATGATTTTTTTTGGATTGTTTTCTCCCAGTGTGAAAACTGAAGGTAAGCAAAAATTTAAGACACTACCACAAAGAATATTTCAATTTACTGTGAAAACACCTAGCATCATTTTAGCCTTTATACCTCAGGTTTCTCTCTGGCATCAACTCAATAAATCTAAATTGAATGAAAAATAAAACCCCCAAACCCCAGGAATTAATCCTTGATCATAATCTTTCAAAGTAATTTTTGTTTGGAAAAATTAAACCAAACCATAGTTAGACCTGTAAATCTGAGAAAATTTAGGTGAGTTATTAAACCTTTTTTTAATGTTCATACAAAGCTAGCAAATTTGCTGTCACTTTTCCTGATTAAGGAGAAATTGAAATCAACACATTAAAGATGACAAAATTTTATAGCAATTCTGATTGATTCTGTTGAAATTAATTGCAGGGTTATATACTGTTCTGTAACAGAATTCATTACAGAAAAATATCACAAGGTTACAGGGTATTTGATAAGGAAACCCCAGTACTAATTAGCTGAAAATGCTGGGTTTAATCTACATACTAGTGCACAAAAACTGAGAAAAAAAAAGAGTCAAGTGAAGCATAGAAAGAGCCTTTTAAACTGCAGTAGTATGAATGAATATAATAGAACAGGATATTAAATAATCAGATATATAATGTCTAGCAGAAACATAATTTTGTGTAATTGCCAAAATAACACTTCAGGTCCAATAATACACAACATTATAAAAGGATTAGTCTGACACTGTATTCTAGTTCACAAGTGACACAATTTTCTGTTCCATAGCTTACATATTTTCTTAGGTGAGATAACAGTTAATTTTCACTTCTTGCATACAATTCCTCGTATTCATTGACCAGAGAAATGGATGTCTTGCCTTAGGGATTGTCTAAATTTTGTATATCTGAATGAGTCAACAGTGAGATTTATTTGCATCTGGCTTCTGTCTTAGTGTTTTGAAGGGGAAATACCAGGAACTACAGAAAGCTGAACAGGAGGCAGCAGTGAGCTCAGGTGGCCAAGAAAGCCAATGGCATCCTGGCCTGGATCAGAACAGTGTGGTCATCGGGACCAGGGAGGTGATTCTGCCCCTGGACTCAGTGCTACCCCCACTCAGGTGGGGGTTGGTCTCTTCTCCCAGGCAACCAGCAGCAGGACAAGAGGGCACAGACTCAAGCTCTGCCAGGGGAGGGTTAGGTTGGACATTAGGAAGAGATTTTTTACAGAGAAAGTGTTCAGGCATTGGAATGTGCTGCCCAGGGAGGTGGTGGATTCACCATCCCTGGAGGTTTTCAAGCTGAGACTGGATGTGGCACTTAGTGCCATGGTCTAGTAACCACAGTAGGGTTGGACTTGATGATCTTGGAGGTCTTTTCCAACCTGGTTGATTCTATGATTCTAACAGCTTTTCTGGATCTCCAAGTGTCTTTATTTTAGGTCACATCCTGCCCTAAGAAGCAGTTGGCCTTTGGAAACTTTGTTCTATACATTTTTTACTGACTTCATGGAATTACTTGTGGCATGACCTGCCACTCACAGTCATTGTGAGCTAGTATGGGAGTGAGAAAAACAATGTGTTATAGCTTTTGTACTGAAAAGAGCATCACTTTAGAGTTGTGTTGTGTCTTACCTGTATGATATTATTAGCTAGCATTGTTCTCCATGGTGCTGCTATAGATCTCCAAAAAACTGTGGGGATTCGATGCCTGATCTTCCAAGCAGCACAGCAAGTGTTTGCACACATCAGTAATATTCAGATTTTTATATTATCCATGAAGGAGAGCAATGGGAGTTGTTGATGCCATATGCATTGAATCTGTGGCGTCATATTGATGATACTTCTGTAGGAAATGAACAGCTCCATAGACCTGGTTCATAGTTGCCAGGTAACTGCTTTGAGAGAATCAGCAGAAAATGTATATTTTCTTAGTAGGTATTGAATGGTAGATCATTATTTTAACTTTATAGGGAACTAGCTTAGATTTCCACAGTGATGTCTCTGATTACTACCATGGGGTCCACTAAGCAATGTTTTGCCTCATCCATGAGCTCGCAAGGGTCAGTATTTTAAGTATAGTGTTCCATGAATATGACTTAAAAGAACTATAAAATATTTGTTGCTGTATTCTGCCTCTTAGCAACCAGCAATACTGAATCCACAGGATTTCCCTTCCTCTCCTTTTGGTTATTCTCCTCTTCTCCTTTTGCTCTTTTCCTTCTGCTGTCCAAGCTGTACACTCCATAATGGTGAAATGGTGAGAAACAGAAAAATCGATAGAGGAAATGCAAAAAGTAAAGGTAAAACTGCAGCTTCTTAGACTCAGGGGTGAAATTCCCATAGGCTGCAGAAGGATATTGTTAGAAATACCAAGCTACATGTGAAGAAAGGGCAACTGTGGAAGATAACAATCTTGATGACCTAAAAGATTGTGTCAAGTATGTGAGTAATGGAGGAGGAGCTTATGTTACTGGTTTTCAAGTAGCTTTCAGTTTTCTTTCAGTGTGCAGAACCCTATCTAGTAAATTCAAGCTGTGGATCCACAACTTTTCCCCCCTTGCTTACTTTCAACAGGCTGATGAGAAGCTGTCCTTCCACACCCTGAGGCCACAGACTGTGAACCATTTCTCTGGAGCTTACAGAGAAACAGAGACTCTTTTATAAGGAGCTCTACTCATTATCCTTTGTGGGACTGATGCCACTCAGAGCAATTCCATGTTCTATTATCCACGTGCTGTTCTAATGAAGGACAAAAACCAACCCCAAAATATCTCCACTGGTGTCTTTTATTAAGTTATGCAAAATACAGTATTAATTATGACACTGCATGCATTTTAGACAATATAAATGCAAGCCTACAGAAAATGTGACAAAGAAACCCTCAATTACTTTTGAGGTAGTATACAAGGAAAAATAGGAAAGCAGAAACACAGTGGATTAATAGAACAAAATATTAGTATCACTTTGTGCATACATTAGTCACTCATAAATACATTTGTATGAAATAACTCAAGATACAATTCCATTCTTGTTAAAAAATATACTTCTTCAAATTCACCATTCTTGTTGGTTTTGATTTCACATGATGTTTTATGGTATTTTATCAGGTGGATTTGTTTCCTTATCACTGCCACCATGATTTTACCCTTTTCCTCCAAGAGTTTAGGCACAGATGGCCTCATGCACAAAAATAAATAAGAAACCTGCTTGAAGGGAAAAGAATTCTGCTCAAATAGCTTAGGATAGTCTAATAAATACCATTTTGTTTATAAAAATATTTCAGGTTTATAAAAGAGGGGAGGGGACGGTCTCCCACGTGGAAAGGATGTTAAGTGAAAAGTGCTGTAGAACATCTTTGAAGAGATTTTGTTTGAAACATATAGTACCATTAGGAATATATATTTTGTAATAATCCTGTTCCTTAGAATCCTATTGTTCTCTAGAAGTATCAAATGCTCCTTGCCTCCTTTTGTTTGCTGTCTTATTGCCGTTTTGGAAGTTGCCTAGTTCAGAAGGGTTCCGTATAATTGTGCTTTTGTAAGGCTGTCCTTCCGACTCAAACCAGTGCTCCCAGTCCGTTGAAACTGCTGCTGTTTGCTGTGAATCCCCGAATGGCTTCCTTGATCCATGGAAGACTGATGGATTTCTGAAGCCTCCACTGAACTCTGGTTGAGTGACTCTGCTGAGCTGTTGGGACTTACGTCCACATATTCTCTTTTCAATACTGGGCTATTCTCGATGTTTTTGCTACCGCATAACTGGACAGTGATCCTTTCATTTTTTTGGTCTCTTGGTTCTTTCGTTTTGTAAGTGGGCAATTTGTCCTGTTTACAGCTCGTGCTGATGTCAATATTCAGGCCACTGTCTGTTCTCAGGAAGCAAGAATCCACAAGTCTGCTTTGGCAGATATCGTCTCCCTCTGAGCAGCTGTCTGCTTTGTAACTAGCATAGATGGGGCTTGTTCGACTGTCCCCCTTCTTAATGGGGCTGCTGTAGTACTGCTCTGAAAAACTACAGGGTGACAGCCTCCCAGCATTCCTGTAGGAGTATGCACCAATGTCCTCCACGCTCAACTGCCTCCACCGTCCAGGCAAGTCTTCTTCTGAAAGGTGTGTGCTCCTGCACTCGTTCCTCATTTTCTGGTTGGCTAAAGCCTGCTGGGGTGTTATGGCTGAGAAATGAAAAGGTTCGTTTGCATACGGAGGCAGAGTCCTAGTAAAAGTGGGTGAGTTCTCGTTGTCGTCGGCGAGTTCCATGTGCTGCGCCTGTTTGGGCTTGGCGAACCTAGGGCTTCCCTGATGCTCATAACCTGCAGGTGACTTTCTCTCAAACAGTTCATCTCTGTTGCTCATGTAGATTGCTTGCTGAGAGGCTGTCAGTGTGTTGGCTTGGGCGTTCTCCTTCTCCTCAGAGGTGACGCTGAAGCTGGAATAGGAGCTGGAGGTTGGCAGAGAGGTAATGTACTCTGGGAAGGCTTCATGAGAGAAGCTGGAATGGAAACCATCTTCTTCAACAGTGCTGTCCGTGGAGTTCTGGGACCGCAGGAACCCCACGTCTTTCACCTGTGTGTCCACACTTTGCCTCCTCTCCCTCCTCCTCTCCTCAGGGCAGTAAAGGGCTGTGTCACTGCAGTAGATATCAGTCTTGTACTGGGGTGTTTGTCCAACTTTTCCAGCAGAGTCCTGAAAATTGAGATCCCTTGTAGATGGGCTTGACAAGCGTGAAGACAAGCTGTTTGGATCTGGTTTCTCCAGTACTTTGGCAATGACACAGGTGGGTATGGTATCAGCGTAAGAAGTGTGGCACAAAGGGACAGAAAGGCTGCACCCGTGTTTTTCCAGATGGATGCTGACTCTTTCCTGAAAGTCAGATGGCAACTGGAACATAAAGAGATGGCAAAGGAGAAAGGAGAAAAGGATACATGTCAATACTGGTGTCAGATGAATCGTGTTTATGGCATTACATAAATCACTATACACAATTCTTTGACTAATGTGGTGGCCACAATCTTTGTGCATTTCTGGAAACAAATGTAATCAAATGACTTTCATTTATTTACTTAACATTTGGAAATTTTCACCTGCTTCCTCTCATGGAAAACACTGTGAAACCTTTGTTTGCAAGTTAATTCAGGTTGGATGGGAATGATCACAGAATCATGAATTGTTCAGGTCAGAAAAGGCCTCCAAGCTCCTCGAGTCCAGCCAGCACTACCAGGTTTGTCTTACTGATTTCAAGTGTGGAGTAAACAACAATCTTAAAAAGGCAGGTAGGGAATTACAGCCCACAGCAACACTTTCTGGACTGCCTGCATGAGTGCAATTTTCAGTTGGAGTGTGGATGTGCAGAGGTCTCTGTGGGGGGGAGGAAAGAGAAGGAAGAGATCAGATCTATTCTGTTCTTCTTTTGCCTTTCCTCGAGCTCATCTTGCCTTCAACTCAGTGCCAAATTGGTTCCTGCCCTCCAGCATCACATTTGATAAACAATGCTGTTTGAAGAGGCAGAAAAGTTGGTTTCACTGACACTTAGAGCAAGTGGTACTTGCTGCTGTAACAGGAGCGTTCTTGTTTTGGGAAGAAGCAAATCAAACTGATTTCCTTGCCCCATCAGTTGGACACTGCTTGTCAGATCTACCATCCACATAAGCCTCAACATGCTCTGACACACTGACAGAAATAAGCTGTAAGACCTGTATTTAGATTACAATTCCTGTGACAAAGTTAATAAGTCTGTTGTGCATCAGAAATAATATCTTTTTAAGAAAGTCAGGATCAGCTCTGGATGGTAGTTCCACCTCCTATTGTGCCACGTGGACCAGAAGAGACAGGGATCACATTCCTTGGTGCAGCCCAAAAGTCTGGTAGGTAATGCCTACTCAGGTATCACTAAGTATGCTTTCCAGTCAAATTTTATCTGCCCTTTTTCAGCTCTCTATCAGTGATCAGACAGGGATGTGAGAGACACCTGTATTTCTTGCTGGAAATCAGAAGGATTCATGTTTGGAATAAGTTTTGAGTTTGTGATAGCTCCTTTGGTATTCATGTTGACTTACACCACTTAAGAATTTATCCCTTGAATGCTTGGCTGAACTCTGTTTTACTCAGCACTTCTTTAATTACTAGAAATCAAGTTTCTCTTCACAGAATGATCAGTGGTTATCCTTATGACCCTAAAAATCTCCCTGCTCCCTAACTTTGTTTCTCTAGAGGAGACAACCCTAAAAATCACTGAAGTTGGGCCCCTCCCCTCTATTTTTGGTGAAGGAAATTTGAGGTGTCTGTTCCTTGTCATGGTCTCACATTGTATAAGACATGGATTTCCTCTTTTAACTTTGCTGGTAAGTTTTTAAAGCTGGTTTAATCCCCAAAACTCAGTGTATTCAAAATATGACATGCAGTGAAATGACATTCTGGTTAATGTGGAGTAGGATGAGTGTTTTTTCAACCAACAGACTGTCCAGGATATTTTGGATTAATCATTGTGTGGCTAATTATCTCCTATGTCTTCCATTGGAAATAAAGAGTATGATATTGCCAGTCTGCTGGCAGACAACAGTATTAGTCACAGTAAGTACAGATGCAACATAGCTTGAATAAACAGGTTGTAAAATAGGCCTGGTGTGAATTGCTACAGAAATGAGGAAAAGGAACACAATTACTCGAACAGGAAACTGCTGTAGCAACACTGTTTGCTCTATTTTTTATATATTATTACAATTATGAAATGCATTAAGAACAACAACATTATTTTCTGGGCAATGCACTGGAAGCTGGAATTACTAAAATGATCTTGCCATCACTCTACTATATTGTACTACAGTTTAAGCTTCTGGATAATATATGATACTTTACCAGGCAATATTTGCATTCGTAAGGAATTTATCAGCTGTGACAACACATTCATGCTGGCTCAATTAATAAATACTTGGATTTATGAGTGGAGGCTTTGCCTGTTTTATTGAGTGTATGACAGCCTGGGAAACTGTGGGGAGATGCTGCATTTGTGGCAGTTCTCTGCAAGTGAACCACTAAGTACTTTTAAGGTCCTAACAGGTAGGGAGTTTTCAAGTGTGAGTAATGCCATGATAAATCTTGGATAGTATTTGCTAAGGGAATTCACTTATTAGGAACACAACAGGGCCAAGATAATGGTTGATTTGGAAGTTCTGTCTCCATTCCGGAAAATCAGTGCCTGTTTGACAGAAGAGTCTTGCTCCATCTTTATCTACCAGGATTGTTAGGTCATCTTGAATCCTGTGCTCAGCTCTGAGCCCCTCAGCTCAGGAGGGACATTGAGGTGCTGGAGCAGGTCCAGAGAAGAGCAACGAGGCTGGTGAAGGGACTGGAGCACAAGTGCCATGAGGAGAGGCTGAGGGAGCTGGGGGTGTTCAGCCTGGAGAAGAGGAGGCTCAGGGGAGACCTTAGCACCCTCTGCAACCCCCTGACAGGAGGTTGGAGTCAGGTGGGGGTTGGTCTCTGCTCCCAGGCAACCAGCAGCAGGACAAGAGGGCACAGACTCAAGCTCTGCCAGGGGGGGGTTAGGTTGGATATTAGGAAGAGATTTTTTACAGAGAGAGTGCTCAGGCATTGGAATGTGCTGCCCAGGGAGGTGGTGGATTCACCATCCCTGGAGGTTTTCAAGCTGAGACTGGATGTGGCACTTAGTGCCATGGTCCAGTAACCATGGTAGGGTTGGACTTGATGATCTTGGAGGTCTTTTCCAATCTGATTGATTCTATGATTCTATGATTTTACTGGCTTAGAAATGGTTTATACATTCCACATTTAGTTTTGCATTGTTCCACTGTGGAATTGCACTGGAGTGACCATTTGGGGGAATGTTGTCCTTATGGGACTGATGGAGGAAAAGCTACTTTCTGTGACCTTCACTGAAGCCATATAGACAAGAAAGGTGCTATTGCTTTGTGTAGGGGCTGCAGCCCTAAAGAGTCTTGTGCACTGAGATAATATTTACCTCTCCTTTAAGGAGCCTGTTTCTCAAGCCTAGTTTCCTTGGAAGCAAGGATTGTTAATTGAAGTTTACACCTTGGAAATAAATCATTTGGTGCTCTGGCTGCTTTAGAAAAAGATATCTGTTCTGTCAGTCCATTTTAAAATTCAGGTTTGGAAACTAAGTGGACTGGAAAATAGCTTCAGGAGGAAAATTGATTATATCAGAATCTCTGACGCCTGTAGCTTGTCATTTCCCTGCTCTCACCCCACTACTCCTTCCCAGCATTTTGCATTCTAGAGTTCACAGTACTTTGGTTTTGCCAAAACCTTTGTTTTTCAGGCAATCAGTGCAGGCCCATTCTACTGGATAAGAGAGGTTTGGGGGAAGAGAGAACCTTCAAGTTCCATCCCTGGCTGTGATTTTGTCAGCACCTCCCTCAGCTGCATGGAACACCAGCAGGTGCACAAGGTCTTCTGTGGCTTAAAGGGTGTGTGTGTGTGGAGGGAATAAAAGCCTTAAGGGCAAACAAGTTCTGGAATTGATGCATGCAAAACAACCTGTTTGCCATACATTATTTATTTCTTTGAATATTCACCAAGTTCAGTCACATTACCTCTGAAAGTTTATGTGCCCTGTCGTAATTCTTGCTGCACTGGAGCAACTGAGCAGCTAAATTGCAGTCCTTCCTATAGAGCTCCTAGGAAAAAAAAAAAGAAATATAACCTCTTTTTTAAAGTTTGCAAAGAGCTTGTGGCTTTCAGCCTTTCACCCCTGTCTGAACAAGCTTTTAAAAATAGACTTTGGGGAAATTTGGAACAAACTTTAACTTTTAAATACTTTCAGATTCCGTGTTTCTTGCACGATCCAGAGATAATTGCCCCTTTGCTCTGTGAGGGCTGATAAATTCATTAGGAATAAAATAGTGAGAACTGTCACAGCAGAGCAGCAATCTGCATTTCAGAAGATGGATACTTACCATTAGGAACTGGACTCTATACTGTTAACATGCATGGTACTGTGAAGGCTAAAAGAAACATGATCTTTTAAGCAAAAAGAAAATGCAAGAATGAGACAATTTGTATTTTTTATCCAGATCAGTATTCAAATACTACTTTAGAAAGTGCTAAAATCATCTTATGAGACTGTGGGAGAAATTCCTTGCAGAAATATGCATTGTGTTGGTTTTCTACAGAAGCCCTCTATCTCCTTATGAAACTTTCTTGCTGGTTCCTGACTCCTTTAATATCTTGCAGAATGCAGCTATAGAAATGTATTAAATCTCACTGCAAATATTTGATGCTGCAGAACAGAATATTTTCACTGGGCAAGAAATTACCATGAGAATTCCACCCAGGGAAGGAGAGAATTTAAGCAAGCTGCTTATACTATTTTCGTATTAAATGGCTCCCACAGCCTATTTAATGGGAAAATTCAGTACACAGATTTGCCCTTCACCTGAATTTCATTTAGCACATATGACTGTAGCTGTATCCTTCAACCAGTATCTTTGGGTCCCTGAAGGTAAGAGTTGTATGTTCTTTTTTCCTTATCTAGTTACATTAAGAACAAAGTTGGCTCCAGAATTTGACTGTATATGTGGGCAGAGATGAGATATACAAAGCATAAAGGTGCTATGGGCACTAGGGTGTGTTGAACTGCAAGAATTAGAACCTGTTTGTAGAGAAAAGGTGTTGAATACCGAAATGTTTTGGATTTTCTTTGGCGTTAATGTTATAATTTAATTGCATGCTGATTTTTACTGCTCCACTTGTTCTTTCAAAAAAACCGATCAAGAAATTTTCTGAGAAGGAAATTCCCTCTGCTGTGAGATACCATTTCAAGGGATTCTGTAATGACATGTGCAACAAGATGTTCCTGTGAGCCTATGAGGCATGGGGGTAGTTTTCCTATGATCACTACTTCATTCTACCTTCATATTCAAGGGTCTTTAGATACACTTGTTTTGTGGATTTTTTTCTGTCTGTGTGAGATTTCATACATGCCAATTCTGCCTGAAATGTACTGGGGAGACACACTCATTTATGTGGGTCTTGCATTTTATGTTATTTTTTTTCCTGAAACAGTAATACACCAAGAAATGAGTTTAGAAGCAAAAATGTTGCATGTGCATGTGCTTCTGACATGTTAATACACACTGAACCCATCATATATTGCTGCACAATATATAGCACAGACAGGTACCCCAAATCCCATATGGTATTACACAAAAACCATATCCCTCCAAAATCTAATCCTTCAAAAGCTGTGTGCCTCTGTTTCTGTGAAGTGGTTGCCATGGAGAGTACAAAAAAAGCATTTCAGGCACTTTATTTTTAGCAGCTTTAAAAGTTACTACAGAAGAATTACATGTGCCATGTGTACTTTGTTCTCAGCCTGCTGGGCCATGCCATGTGAGTGGACTGACTTTCTCTCCTCTGATGTTTGCCTGAATGGAAACTAGCCACATCTGTGATAACAAGGACAATAGCTGGCAATTAATGCCAGGAGTGTTGAAAACATGTTTTGGCATCAAAAGCATCATTTTATAATTCTGTCAGAAGAATGAGGGGAAATATAACTGAGGGAAGAAATATTGCCAAAAGAAAAATACGTTCTCCCCATGTAGAAGTTTATCACTATCTCTACATATTAGGTATAATCCTAGTGGGTTATTTCATGGTTCTTTATGTTAAAATTTGGAATTTAACCTTTACTTTCATTCGTGATGCTACATAACTAAGGGCAGGATTTTGTCTGTGAACTGACCTCAAGTCTGACAAATTGGGACTGTTATCTGAGACCTCTGGACCATACTCTAATGTTCAGAGTGAAACTATGAATATTGAAAACACTTCAAATGTGGGGGAACACCTGACTCCATGAAGTAGTTTAAATGCATGAATACTTATTAGGAGAGTTTTAAAACTTTTTTTCCACCTCTATTTTAAATCTGAAATAACTCCACTGATTTCAGCTGGATTTGTCTGGATCTCTACCTGTGCTTCTCAAACCTGAATGTAGCCCATTACATTTGCCATGTTCCACTACTTATAACTGCTAAAGTTATGAAGTAACTGTTCTTCCAGCTCAACTTGTAGAGAAGTAAGGGGTCAGATTGTGAACTTTCTGTTGGTAAGCTCTTAATTGCATAGGCACAATTCACATCAACAGGCATTTTAATGGGATCAAATGCTCCCAGCTATGATTAAGAGTTCATATGAAATATGGGAAGATTGAATGTAAGATGCTGAAAAATAAGTGCTAACAGAAACCTGTATTCTGTACAGGATTTTTTTATGAAGTGTCAAAGGAACAGCACAATAATGAGCTAAATGCCTCAGTCCTCCTTTTTTTGCCCTTTGTAGGTTTGTCCCTGGAAGGATTTCGTGAACTCAGTTGGCTGCTGCAATGTGCGTGCTAGTTTTCAGCAGTGTTTAATGAGATGGAGGGTGACAATCCTCAGAGATGTTCCCTGTTTTGTTCCACACAGAGATAGGTAACTTGACACACATGAACGACCTCTGGGGAAAACCTGTCCCCTGGTCCCTGCAAAGATCGGAGCGACCGAGTTGGGTCAATCCTACTTTCTAGTAAAGCTCACATGTGCTGGACATCCCATTGTGGTGAGCAGACGCCAAAAGATCAGAGGAATTGCATGAAGTTTAGGGCTCTACACTGTGCCTAAAACCCTTATGATGAATCTCCATTTCACACGTGTCCCCACGACAGGTCTGAGCATGTGTTTGCACAAATTTGCTGTACTGATGGCAAAATCAAGGTGGGAATGTTGCCCTTTCTTAGAATATTTTTTCATCAGTTTCAGCTTAGACATTAGGAAAAAAAGGTCGATGAAAATCTCACCACAACCTCATAGCATAAGGAGAGCTGAATTCGTAAAATTCTGGGAACAAACAAACAAACATAAATTTTACCTGCTGAGGTGACAAGTTACATTTTACACAAACAACAACAAGTCATTCTGTAATTCCATGGGAAGTGCAAGCCCTAATTTCTTTCTGAATATAATCTCAAGATGCATCCATAATGAAATACTTACATTGTCTTCTGACAACTTATCTATTGTCACCTTGGCCTCTATTAAGTGATTATTGAGTGCAATTATTTCATGGCTCAGAGCTCGTTTTTCCTCTTCGTAATGTTGACCCTGTGTAGAAAATGGAATAGTCAGTTTTTTATCTACTGTCAGAATATTTCAGACAAAGGCCCCAAGGTTGATGGCATTCTCAAGTCCAGGGAATAGCACAACAGAGTAATATTTCTTTTTTTTTCCTCTATTTTTTTGCTGGTTTTGCTCAGCAGATGAGGCAAAGTACTTTGAAAATATGGAGGGCAAATTGGTCTCACATTAGGAACCTCCACAAAAGGTTCTAGTTAGCCTGTGCAAAAGCATCTGATTGAGCATCAGCTCTCCCTCCTTCATCCCAGGACAGGGTTTCTAGGCTGGAAGGGACTGGAGCTGCTCTTGGCTTTTGCCACAAGAATGTTTCACTTATGCTATTAGCTCCCATTCTCATAGGGGAGGAAGTACAATATTTAAGAAGTAAAGCAGTTTTGTTTGAGCCAATTTCATTTTAGCTGTTGACTGTTCTGGCTGCTTTAAAAGCTCTGATTAAGGTTATTCATTTCTCAAGGTGAATGTTTGCCTGATTGCAGGGTTAACACTCATTAGCTGAACGTGACCCACTGTAGGATACCAGGAAAACAGTCTGATTCAAACTTCTTGCTGCCCACTAATTTAATCTTGTTACCAGTAGGATGTGACACTTTATAATAAATACAAAGAAAACAGTGGGAAAGGTGAAGTGCCACTGGCCCTTCCCGTTCTGTGCCCCATTTTCATACTGCAGCGTTTACTGTGCTGCATCACATCTCAAAAATCATTGTGTAACAATCATTTATAACCCTGACTTCAGCCTTATGTTTGTGTTAAGTGTGGTAGCTTCTGAATGCTCTGACATCAGGGCATCTTCCATGCACTCCGAGCTGTACAAGGCCATGATAACATGAAGGTTTCAAAATTATCTAGAGGATCTTTTAGAAACGTAAGAACAGAAAGTAGGGTAAGCACTAATATACTTCTGTTTTGTTTAGTGAACTCAATCCAGTGACAAATTCAGCCTCGGTGGTGCAGAGCAATAGGACAAGAGGCAAAAGGCAGAAACTGGGACACAGAATTTCACCTGAACATGAGGAAGAAATAGTTTACTGTCAGAGTGACTGAGCACTGGAGCAGGTTGCCCATAGAGGTTCTGGAGTCACCTTCCCTGGAGATATTAAAAGTCTGCCTGGCCACAATCCTGAGTAACATGCTCCAGGGCACCCTACTTGAGCAGGGAGGTTGGACTGGGTGACCTCCAGTGGTCTCTTCCAACCTCAACCATTCTGTGATTCTGTGAATGTCACTCCCCATTCTAACACTGTTAGTGGTGAAGGACTTAAATTTCCTAAATTCCATATTGCCAGGGTTAAGCAAAAATCTTCTGTCAACACACACTTGACATTGGCAGCTAATTGACAGCAGTGGGAATTGGGTGTTTTGAAGTCCGAGTGAATATCAAGGTTAATTATCCAGCTGCAAAGCACCAGGCTGTATTAAAGAAGGGTGATTAAATTAGAAGTGGCAGCTCACATCCTAAGTTGCTATTTAAAGAAAAACACCTTCTCAAATGGTCTAAGCAAAACCACAGCTTGCTTGAAACAGTGCAGATATGATTGAAGTGGCTCTGTGAAGGTCTGGACTGGCCTATTTTAGTGTCAGCTTTTCCATGGACTCTCTGTTCCCTGCTGCTGCCAAACCTTTGTCCTGACAGTCCAGCTCTGCCTGGAGGCTGGTTCAGGCTTTACACCTCTCCCCTCCTTGTTCTTATTGATCAGGTAGTCCTGCAATCTGCCCGGGGACTAACCCATGTAAAGCCAAAGATGTAGCCTTGAGAGGTTTCAAGAGCTCCAACCTCAGTGATTTTTAACTAGACACATGATCTTAGGGGTTGTGTTTTTTAATTAAGCAGATCGAGGTGGTTTTACACAAGACCCTTAACTCTCATTGATTTCATTGTGAACTAAACAGCTAGGCACTTTGTAAACCTCCTGGCCATCTGTGCACCTTCAGAACTCTGACTCCTTTGAGGGTATGACTGAAGATTACATTTTCAAAGGTATTTAGCTGTGTAATGAGGTAGACAAGTGACTACCTAAGTACCTGCGAAAAATGTGTCCCCTCAATTTTCCAAGCCATTTCATGCTTTTGAAGGATCCAGATCCACTGAGTACAGACTTAATCTTCCAAATAACAGTTTGTGTCAAAGATTTTATCTGTCCTTGTATGACAAGTAGTCAATGCCAGCACAGCTGATTTGTAGAACCCAGTTTTGCTCTAAATCTCTCTTATTTCAGCAACTGTTGCTCTTGCCTAGCCAAATTGAACTTGACTCAATCTATTTTACAGTTCAAGAAAGAACATCTGATCAAGGATTTATAGTCTTCAGCAGAGAGAAACTCATAAAAGGCCAGCAGATTCAGGGTTTGGAAGCAATACTTTCGACTGCATCAAATAATGCTGAATCTGGCTGAGTTATGGTTTCTTTTTATTTCAGTTATGATATCTTTTGGACTGATGTTTTGCAGACTTTTTATCTGGCCAAGTGTGACTTGAAAAAATATTCTATTTGTTGAACTGTAAAATTTGCCTCAGCCCAAAGTTATACTCTACAGGTCAGCAGATGGACAGCAAAGCTGTGAACATCTCAGCACTGCTGTGGAGGAGGGGGAATGAGAAAGAAAAGCCAGTTCCAGTCTTCTCCATCAGAATACATTCACATTTTTCTCTTGAAATTTGTGTTGCTGACATGAACAAAGAGTCTGTTTACTTGTGGCAAAATGAGGCAGCCTAAGGGTGGAGAGGACACCGAAAACCCGAGGTATTCTGACCACACATTGTGTGTCCACCTTTGAAAGTTCAGGGCTTTAACCAGACATTATTGTGGTCCAGTGGTGGCAACAAGAGGACAGAGGCTTAATCCTGACACTACCTAGGGGAAAAGAGTGCAGCTGGAACAGATGATATGGTAGTGCTGGATTGCTGCATTAATAGGATTGCTGGTTACTGAGAAGTGTAACTTTGACCTCTCCAGTTGCAGTCAAACAATCATATTTTCAGTATCAGATGTGGCTGTAACAGAGGCATGAAAGGAGGATGGGAATCATAATAGCAATGCTATGATTATGAGTTACAAATATAAATGTTAATTTCTAACCACTTTTGACAGATCCCTCTATTTCTGGTAGCTTATAGATGCTTGGTCCTCCTACTCCACCGTAAGGCTGGTGACCCCTCCTCTCCCCTTTTGGCACAGCTTTCTGCTCTGCAGGTGCTAACAACCTATCTCTCAAAACTCAGTAGCAGATGAAGTCAACTGATATGTCAATAGTTTGCAGCTGGGCTGAGGGTTCCTGAAGTCCACTCCAAAATGCCAGGGCTATAGGCTGCAATGGGTTGAGCTGCTGCTGTGTATTTGTTCAGAAATCTTTGTTGAGTCAGCTCAGTGCATCTTGCCCCTGCCTCCTCCCCTGACACAGAGCCAGTGTACAAGAATACAGCTCTGTAGTGTCTGACTAACAGAAGAGAACTGCAATCATGTGCCCACGTCTGAGTCAGATCAAATTTGTACTGCTGGGTGACTCCAGCAGTCACAGCACTGATACTGATGTTGGGGGAACCAAGTGCTCCTAGCCTGGGTTTAGCATGAGGTTCACTGCTTCCTTTTTAGAGGTGATGAAGGAATTTAATATTCAGGCTGAGAAAGTTGTGGCAGTTCAGCCTGGAGAAAAGAAGGTTGTGTGGAGACCTCAGAGCATTTTCCAGGAGCTGAAGGGGCTCCAGGGAAGCTGCAGAGGGATCTGTGTTAGGAGCTGCAGGGACAGGACAAGGGGCAATGGGCACAAATTGAAAGAGGGGAAATTTAAGTTAGATCTTAGGCAGAAGTTTTCCCTGTTCTGGTGGTGAGACACTGTCCCAGGTTGCCCAGGGAGGCTGTGGCTGCCCCAGCCCTGGCAGTGCTCACAGCCAGGTTGGCTGAGCCTTGAGCAACCTGCTCTGGTGGGAGGTGTCCCTGCCCAGGGCAGGGGGCTGGGACTGCATGATCTCTAAGCTCCATTCCAACCCCTAAAATTCTATGATTTTATGATTCTATGATCTGTTCTTCACAAAGAAACAAAACAATATTATAAAAGATATAATCCCTGTCTGGAACCTTGGGCTTTTGAAAATAATTTGTATCCATCACAGTGAAAACATTCCTCATATATTTACATATATTTACTTTCAAAATGTTTGGTGTCATCTAGTCCCTATATCTGTAATCTGTGCTATAAGTGAGGTAACAAGAATTTTGGTAGGTTTCTAGAGCATGAAATAATTAATATATAAATGTATTTTGACATGTAACAAGAGCTGGATGAAAAAATCTGTTTTTCTTGTGTATTAGTGGAGGCACAAAGGTTCATACTCTAGTCCTTCAGCAGAAATGGAGCAGTCTAAAAGTTGGCTGTCTGCTTGGTAATGTTTCAGTCTCCCTCCAATGCTTTCCAGCAGCTGGAGGGTGTCCTACCATAAAGCAGTGTCAGCCTATTAGTCAAGGCTTGGCTGCTTACTGTTGTCTCTGCTGTCCTGTGGGAGCTCTGAGATGTGTATAGACCTTTTGAAATCAGTCTCAATTTTGCAAATGAGTGGTGCTGTTCTGTGGAAACGTCAGCCTTTTCAAACATGGCAAAGTAAATCTCTTCTTGATGTTCCTGTAAGGAACGTTTAAGTGGATAGAATTTCAATGCTACAGTGACAATAAGGTAAGGGTCCTAGCGACCATCAAGGCATTAGTGGCCAGCAACATTCCTTTGGAAATGCCTCTTAATAAGTAATGCCCAAATGACACAGAGGCTTTGGTTTGGGGTTTAGGGGTTCCAGCAGTTACAGGTTAATGGTTGGACTTGATGATCTTAGAGGTCTCCTTCAACCTTGATGATTATCTGATTCTATGAAACACAAGTGGTGCCACCTGAACATCCAGGAAACTCTTTTACTGGGGAGTGACTGAGTACTAAAAAAGGTTGCCCAGAGATGCTGTAGAATTTCCATCTTTGGAGGTATTA